TTGAGCCACAGTTCCACTTCCAGCTTTTTGGTGGTTAACTAGAGATCAGAGTCTCACAGACTTTCCTGTCCAGGCTGGCTTAGAATCACGATCCTCAAATCTCAGCCTCCTGAGTTAGCTAGGATGACAGTCATGAGCCACTAAGTATTTTAACTTAAAAAACTGTTTAAATTTGGGGGAAAAAAAAAACTAAAAAAGGAGCGAGAGAGGAAAATCAAAGTTGCAAAAGGAGAGGCAGGGTGACACACAGTTTATAAAAATGAGAAACCTATGCAGTCATTTTATATAGTTTCTATTAAAAAGCTATTTAAAAGTCTATCTCGGGGAAAGGAGGGAGAAAATGAATCAGCTCCAGTTGCATCTGTAGTGTGCATTTCTTTGGGAATTTAAGGAAGACAAAGCTGCATGACAACAGCTAAGCCCAGCTGGGCGCGGCCCAGGAAGGCTGGACAGCCCCGCGTTTGCGGCTTCAGTGGCATCGAGAATGGGGACAACGCGGTCCCTGACTTCTCTTGTTCTGCTTTTGCTCAGGTCTCACATACATGTTTCTGGTAAAAATATGCAGAGCTCCCGTTGGCCTCTCGAGTCAGCTCTAAGTCAGGGGCGATCTACCCCGCTTCCACGCAGACTCTGCTGTCCTCTTCTTCCATCTACGCACCTTGCAGACCGGCCGGAGTGGCGGATTTCTGCTCACCAGCCCTGCAGAGCTGAGGACAATAAATCTTGGTAATGAGGAACCCCTGGCGGCACCTCCACTTCCCGGCTGCCCGGCCCTGCCGATTCTTCACGCTAACAACGCCGCCCTGCTTCCAGCCTAGCTGATGTTGCCAGCCTTGCCCTGACAAGGCCGGACACAGCTACCACGATGGCCACCATTATTTTGTTTCTCCTCTGCCACTCTCTCTGACAACACCCCAAACTCTCCCAGGAAAGGAAGGCCGGAAGCCCCTTCCCAGCTCCTCATACAGCGCCGTCTCTGTGTCTTCCCACTGTGGAACTGGGGGGAGGGGCAGCGGGCATTGTCCCTCCCCACCCCCCCACCCACCCCCCTCTCCCCCGTGTGTTCTGGAAGCCGGGCACCCTGCAGGCTGCTCCGGTCACCCGACACAGCAGAGCTGTCCTTGGTACGGATTTCTCCCCCACCCAGCATCATCCCGAAAGACTGACAAGTGCACACAGGAAAACCGCAGCCCAGGCCGGCCTGGCCCTGATCAGTGACTCTACCTCCAAAACAACCAACGCCGAGAGCGCTGGTGGAGTGCCTGTGGACCAAGCACAAGGCCGAGTGCAACCCCAGGTCTGAAAGGGAGAGACTCAGTAAAGCCAGAAGTCACACGGAAACGCAATTTACGTACACGCGTTGGGAGGGGCAGTTGTGTTATCCCCCAGCCATGGCCCAGAAGGTTCTCTGACCCCGGAAGAGGGACCGGGGAGGGACCAGGGGCTCCAGCCGCAGGCTCTGGCCCTGTGAGCTCCTGCTCCGCGCCGCGGCACCTCCCCTAGACCATGGAAGTCAGACTTGCGCAGCTTGTAGGCGAGCGTATCTGGCTCTTCTCACTGGACACAGGGCTCCAGCAAGTAATGCGGGCAGGGCGTCTGTCTGCAGGGACCCCTGCTCACAAATGAGTACTATTTCACAGTGCCGGTACGGCAGGATTTGTTTAGCCATTTAGCAATTAACAAACATTTGGGCTCTATTCAGCGCAGGGCTCCGGTGGAAGGCTGGTGTGGAAACTTCTATATAAATCTTCTCTGGACATTTGTTTTCATTTCTCTCAAGGAAATAAGTGGAAATGTTTTTTTGCCAGGTCACGTGACAAGCATATGTCTTTTAGCAAGCTGGAAACTTTGCAGCCATTATTTCTTTAAATATCCGAGCCCCCATTTCCTCGCTCCTCGCGTTCCACGCAGGCCCAGGCTGTGAGCAGCCGCCTCTCCGCTTGACAAGCTCCACTGCCGTTACGCGCTCTGCTGCTTCTCCACCATCGCTGATCTTCTGGTGAGTCAGTTGTTTGTTTATTTATTTACTTACTTATTTATGTCATGGGGCTTGAACTCTGGGCCTGGGCGCTGTCCCTCAGCTCTTCAGCTCAGGAAGAGCGCTCTACCCCTTGAGCCGCAGCACCACTTCTGGTTTTCTGGTGTTTTATTGGAGGTAAGAGTCTCACGGACTTTCTTGCCCAGGCTGGCTTTGAGCCACAGTCCTCAGATCTCAGCCTCCTGAATAACTAGGATCACAGGTGTGAGCCACCAGTGCCCGGCTACTAATTTATTTTTAATTTCAGCTATCACCAAGGGCGGCGCTAGCATTTCAGCTTTACTCTTTTTATAGGATCTCTCTCCAGCTTTTACCCATTGTCTCAGTCTGCTTTCTGTTGCTAAAATAAAATGGCTGGGTGGACAGCAGAGGCTCCCTCAGCCCCACATCCGGCTGACCGGCCTCCGAGAGGACTCCGTGCAAGTGGCCCCCGCGGGAGCGGAGGTCGGGGCACAGTCCAGGGCCGGAGGTCAGGCTTGCTCTTCTGTGACAACCTCCTCAAGATAACTCACCAGGATCGGCAGGGACGCCCCGAGCCTCTTCTTAGGGCAGCTCTGCCCAGGGCCTAGTGCCCTCCCGGGGCACCAGCCCCCTGCACCGCCGGTGGACACCACGCCTCCAGCCACCGGGCCATGCACGCCCATTTCCCCACTCCTCATAACCCAGCCTCATTCTTCTGGACACCACCGGCTTCCAGAACCAGAGACTGACCACAGGCCTCCCGCGCGCCAGGGCAGCGCTCAGCCGCGGAGCCACGGCCCTGGGCCGCTGGGTGTGTTCTCTCTGGTCTGTGCACCTCCTTTTCCGGTGTCTTCCTGTGTGGAGGAATGGCGGCGCACACTGTGGGCGCTGTGGAGGACGCACCGCAGAGACTCTGGGCTCTGAAGACGCGCGGGGCTCTTCTTTTATTAACTACATCGGTGTTTTTGGTTCCTCGACACCTTTCTCACTCACACGCGGTCCGTGGCAGCAGACTCCAGACCCAGGGAGGCCCCCGGGGTTGCAGCCCTTCCCTGAGGACAGGAGGCCGGCACCGCCTTGGCTCCAGCACTCCAGAAGCGCCTGGCACCTCCAGACCACCAAGAATTACTTCAGATCCACAACGGCGAAGGAAAAAAACTACAGGTGGGAGAAAATTCCCAGGTAGACGGTTCGTACTTACAACCCCAGAACTCAGGAGGCTGCAGCAAGAGGATATGGAATGTAAGGCCACACACAAATACACGCACGCACACACATGCACACACACACATACACAAATACACACGCACACCCACGCACATACACGCACGCACACACACGCGCACACACAAATACACACACGTGCACGCACACGCACACACACATACACAAATACACACGCACACACATGCACACACGCGTGCACACACACATGCACACACGCATGCACACACACATGCACACACCTGAGACGCGGCTCCGAGGCAGAACTCTTGCTTAGCATACATGAGACCCTGGGTTTGGTCTCAGATCACTGTGTAAGACAGACAGACGTATAGACACTGCAGGATATTTAAAAGCCACCCAAACAGAATCTCTAAATTCATTACCCTTAAAATTCAAAAGAGTTCAAAGAAACCCAAAAATAGAATGACATTCTGAATGTCAATTGCGTCAGATGGCAGCCCTCCTCTAACCTCACATTTACCTGGCAGCTCTTCAATAAATGTCAGCGTGTCTGCTGGGCGGGAAGTCAGTGGCAGGGTCTCCAGGGCCTCCAGTCCGAAGGGATGCAGATTCCCCGCAGAGAGGCTCTCCCTGGGAACGGAGTTCTCCCCAGGAAACAGGAACTCCCCGGCCACCGATTAATTAGAATGAACGACTGACTCCATTCCATCTTCTGCTTGGGCCATTGTATTAATTACAACAGCCTCCAAATCTTTCTTATAGGCCAATTACTCCACAGTAATTAGATCTGAAGTCAACCAGAGTTGGAAAGCATTATGAGCATGTAAGTTCTCTAACTTCTCCTCTGTTGATTGTATCCACTCAAGCACTTTCCCTTCACAGATCTGATTTCCAGAGCTGTTTGGCCTGAGAAGCCAGTAGAAGCTGGACTTCCACAAGCTACAACAGGGCAACACAGCTAACAAGCTGCGGTTTTCTCTCCTCTCCCCCAGGCTGTGCTCCGGGGCTGGAGAGGCCCAGGCTCCACCGCTGAGGACTCTGGGAGTCTGCACAGCATTTGGATGGCAGCACTTGACTTTGCCAGATGCTCACATGCACAGAGGACGTGCACCTGCCCAGCAGGCCCTCCCCAGAGAAAGGCACTGACCGGCCCAAGACAACACAACAGCAGGGCCGTCCGCCCGGGGCCCAAGCCGGGCTGCACTGTCAAGGATCTCTGAGGATGCCTGATGCCCAGCTGCTAGCTGAACTTTGATCCTGCCCAGCAGCCACCATGGGGGGGCCCTGAGTACAGGGCGGAGCCCAGCCCAGCAAGGGTGGCGCCCCAGCCTGATAACCAAGCAAAGAGTACATCCCGACTCAGATCCCACCATGCCAGCGCCCACCACGCCAGCGCCCACCACGCCAGCATCCACCATGCCAGCGCCCACCACAGCTCAGCACCCACCACAGCTCAGCGCCCAACACGCCAGTGGCTTTGAAAACTCCATTCAGTCTTAAAGCAGTCATCTGTCAGCTTGGTCTGACAGACAGAGGCTGCCGACTCCCCCCAGTGAGCGAAGCCAGAACTCCGAGACCCGCGCTGGCCGCACCCAGATGAGGCCTTATGGGCAGAGACAGGTGAGCTTTCAGCAGACCTGGAATGAGTGGAGTCGGGCCGCCCAGAACATCCACTCACACGCCCAGGGAGACTCGGAGGAGCCGGAGGCAGGGCAGCCAGACGGGGCACGGAAGGGCCGAGGGAAGCCAGCGGCACTGGGAGTAGGCTCCGACATCTCACCAACCGAGCAGCCGAGCGGCAGAGGGGCGGGCA